GGGGTGGGGGTGGGGTGTTAGTTAATTATTTTGGGTGTCCAGAACTACCTATTGGCAAAATGTTCCTATTTTGATTTTTGGGAGCTCCCAAGAATCAAGGAATCAAGTTTTCTTTATTGGATAAATTAGTCCTAATTGTAACAATGAGGTCTTAATTACACTTCAGGAGGGTGTGCCTACTCTGCTTTGATGCTGATACTAATAGAATGGGCTGCTGGTCTTTGAAACCTTGAGATTATAGTGCCATACAAATCACTCTACTGAGAGAGTATAGTGTAAGCTCTTCCCTTCTGAATGCAGTTGGCATAGTTATAAAAATAGAAGCAATAAATAGAAGCAGGAGTTTTATGTCCATTGGGGCTTAAATAAGAAATACTGAAGTGCAAGAATGTAGAGAAATTAGAAAAATGGGAATCTTGGCCATAGTTTAATCTGAATGATTACAAAATTTTATCAACATATGGTCTGAGGATGCAGAGTTGCTACACACTCCTTACACAGAGGTACTGTTTCCATTTTAACAGATGAAAAAATAAGAAAAAACTAGTGTCTTGTTTTGGAGCTCATGGAATGATATTCAACTCACACATTAAAATACCTACATTTAAACAGCTAAATGGATTTCTAGACATCAGTTATTGAATAGGGTCTAGATGCATCTTCTTAAGTGCAGATACCTAGTGCCATTTAGGTGCTGTCATGTATTTTGCTTGGCCTCCACCTCCCACTCCAGAAAGGTTCATGTCCTCCATAGTCCTGCATCATATCTGCTGTGATTGTGAAGATGTTCTTAATACCCTGGAACATCCCAAAATGGTTGCCTCTGGAAAGGCAAATAAATTCTGAGAAAGAATCTACAATGTCAGTATCTACCTTGTTATTTGAGCTTCTTTTGTAGTACATGGAAATCTAAAGGATGTCTCGCCCAGGAATGGTGAGTGTCATTTGGGATGCTACAGGGTATCTCTGCCCTCGTGTAGATTCTGCATTAACTTTGCCAGCCCTGTGTAGAAGTCTCAGATGCATTATTTGATGTCTCAAACAATTCTACACACCCATGTTTAGGTAACTGAATTAAACCCAGAGTCAATAGAGTCAAGTCAGTAGAGTCTAGAAAGCAACTGAACCATATTCAGACAACTGAATATTGCACCAAAGGCTCCTTTGGGATATTGGGATCTTCAGGACATAGGGAGTGCTACATGGAATAGAGCATAGGGTTTGCTACTTTGCAAGCTATGATATTCAAGGCAAAGCCAGGGGGGCTCAGGGGGTAGTGATTTTAATTGAAATGATGGATTGAAGGCTTTCTGAGACTTTTCTAAGGAAGACTGTAGGCCATTCTAAACCTCTAATGACTTTGAAAACACAGTACAGATGAAAACATCACTGCTATATTGCCTTTTCAGTCTCAGTGAGTTGATTTATTGGCCTTCAGAATGTTTTCAGTGAGCAGTGCAACCAGGACTTCTTTTAGCCTCCACAGCAACTTTACTGGAAGTCATGTAGACTGTTACATTTTAGCAATAATATCGGCCCAGGGGAAAAAAAATAGAACACAACTTTATCTTTAAAAACCTTTAAAAATTCTGCCTACCTTTGGGTTTTAAAGTAGCATAGACAGACTGCATTTAATTATGAGGCCCTGGAGATGGTTCATACATCCTAATATTAGAACAGAAAAATTATTAAGGACTCTGTTTGAAAAGAAAATTAAGACATGGCTTTTTTCATGCATTATATTCCTCCAGTGGATAATTCAAAATAAATTTTATAAATCAGCATGAGTGACTCTTAAAATAGTACTTCCTGCTGTTCAACTGTAGTAACACAATTCTGAAATGAAATTTTTCAGGTATTAATAGGATCCCTGCCCATCGCTTTATCTTTTAATATACATTTCACTTTGTATTTGGCCTACATAACAGATGAATTATTTGAGTAATAGTAGCAAAATGATTGCTACATAAATCTCTCACTATTTCAGTTTATAAAGATGGATTCAGCTGGAGAGGAAAGAAATAATTTCTCTACTTTCTGGAATTTCTGGACTCTGTTACTGCTGAGAAAGTTTGTATTTGGAATATTCTTAGGCTTGATGTTTAAAAGTCATGACAATTTGACATGATACTATACAACTTACTATCTATACCGAGTCCTCTGGCAAAAGGCTTGAAAGCAATGGCCAGTCATAACCCAAAATGAAATCGAAACCATGAAAGGAGATTTGAAATGCCTTTGAGAAACAAGCATTTGGGAGACATGGGTTAACTTAACTCCTTCCTCATGCCAGAGGTGCTGGGAATGTAGAAACAGACACATAATCAGTTATCAAAAGTTTCAGAGGAAGAGTTATCTTTCTCCAAAAACCAACTTAAGCAACACACGCAGCAGATGCAGGTGAAACATAAATAAGGGACTAAGCAGCTGAGCTCTCCCAAATGGTACGTTGAACATTGAATAGGTGTGCCAGACTGCCTGCTGTTCAAAGTAGTCTGCATCTCCTTTTTCCTCTCCTTTGGTAAATCTACACCTGTTGAACCAGACCCTCAGTCACCATAATTCAGCAGAGCTGCGCTGAAATCAGTGGAGTGCTGTTCATTTGCAGTGGCTGGGGAAGGCCATACCCTACCCCCAGAGAAGTTGTACTGCATTGGTTTTACACACGACAGAGGAATTGCCATAACAGATGAGATCCCTAGTCCATGTACTCCAGACTCCTGCCTCTGAAAGCAGTGACGAATCACCAGACAACATGATTTTACAATTTCTTCTAGAAATCCTGACCTACTGCTGGTGATGCTCACCAATGGTGAGATTGTAGTCAACCCCACTACCACTGATAGCTAAGCAATTAATCACCATGCTCGCATTCTGTTTGCTTCTGGGTTACTGGATTTGGGATGGGCGTGGCTACAGCCACCAGACTCCAGGTTTTGTTGTAGGCCAGTGCATAGGTTAAATATTACTGACACTTCAGTGTTTGAAAATCAACATGAAGTGCAATTGCAGATGTAACCTACAGATCATCCTGTAAGAAGCAAAAATTAGGCTGGTGTTGTTAACTAATAATCTTGTAGCTTTACTGAAAGTAATCCCACTGTTTAAAAAAAAAAAAAAAAAAAGACATGTATACAAGAAATTGAGAACAGTGATGATGCTTCAATTTGTTAGTTTTCCTCAGGCTTTCAGAAAAAGAAAGACATTAAACCATTTTACAGTTAAAGAAAAGCCTTCTGGGCAGAACATTACTTGTGATTTGTTGGATATGGTTTACTTATTTTTTGTTATTAATCTCACAGTGCCTTAAGAGAAAAGTGCACGTTGTTGCTCTAATCTGCCTACAATGGCTAGGTGATGGGGCTTTCTAGAAAGCAGGGGCTCTGCATTTGTTGCAGAAACATAGTGCAATTTGGGAGGCATCTGCTGTAATGACTGAGCTCTTGTAGGAAAAGAGTAGCTCCTGTTCACCTTAGAAAAGGATAATTTAGGAACCAAAACAAAGCAGAAATTTCTGAGGCAGGGATGTCCCATCTGGCACAGTCTTCCCTGCCACAGTAATAAGCATAAGAGGCTGATTTAAAATGCTATTTCTTGGATCAACATTTCCTAGTAGCTAGGCAGTAACCTGGCATGAACCTTACTGAAAATAACAGTGGGGTGTCTTCACCCCAAGGCTTATACAGAAAATTTAGAGGTTTCATGCAGTGTTGTAGACAGCACTCAAGGAACGGGGTTGTGCATTGCTGAGCATCACAACACGAAGAGCTTTTTGCTGGCTTGAACATTAGTGACCAGCCAAAATTCACAGGGGCATCTTAACTCTAAGTCCTAACCACTGGAACAAAGCAATCACATAGTAAACATTAAAAAGTTACCTATGACAGACATGGGCATGCTAAAAACCTGAGACACTTTAGAGAGCCAAATTTTAGGCTTACGCTTACTTTTGGACCTCATTTTCTTAACACCTGTAAGGTTATTGCATTGAAACCTTAAGTGGTATACTCACAGATAGTAAGTATAAGATTGTTTTGTATTTCCTCTTTTCCTGATAGTTTATTTATTTGCTAAAATCTGAACACAAAAATCAAGCTAATGTCACTTTGGGCTTTGATTTGTTCATGTTGGACAACATCAAACTTAGCAAACACTGGGAAGAGAGCTTTTTCTAGCAACATCCTCATGCCATACTTAGTGCAACTTAGTGAAAAGCAATCTCTCCTGAGAGCCCATCCAAAGATGGTGCCCCTAGGCTGATGTGGTGGTAGAAAAACTGTAATTTAGATGTCACATAAAAGACAGATCTTCACTCATTAAGAAGTCCATTAGCACACTTGGGGAAAAGTAGGGACATTTTCTATGCTCTCTGAAAACAAGGGAAGTGCTTCAAAGCTGGGCACTGAATATATTAGTCATTTTGAAAAAGCAGTTCAATGGGATCAAAGAGCCAGAAATAAATTGGTAACACTTAGTCTTTCTGAAAATTAATCAAAAATCAAAGCAGTGGCTGAATTCATTGGCAAGACGGGAAGGCTTCAAAAACTTGAAGGGTCTTTCCAGTGATCCCGTTTAGTTTCCAATGCAGTGCAATCCTAAAACCTCACAAATAGGTTTTGTGTCAAGAGCATAAATCATTTACTAAGAATATTCATCACTGTCCTTTTTTGCATTCATGTCTCAGATCTTGTCTCAGATCTCCTCTGAAATCATCTCTGTACTCCCTGTTCTCCCTGTCTGTACTTCCCCTGTTCAGTTTTTCTGATATGACTCTGATGCCCAAATATTTTAGCTTTCCTTTATACAAAACCGGAGTTGTCTGCCATTCACATCACACACTGCCTCCATCTTGGAGGATTAAAACTCACCTGGTACAGAAAGACGCAGCAAACTTAAACTTATGCATCCCCTGTCCATTTTTAACTGTGGAATGACATGTTCAGGCAGCCCTGAAAGTTAGCCAGTGATGCCAAAGACAAGTCCAGAGAACGAGGATACGTTCTGAAATGCGTACATTTTTTTCAACTGAAATTTTGATGAACAAGAAAGGCTTATAGGTTGGAAGGAGGCCCATGAAAAGTGTTGAACACAGGTCAAATAAATGGAGAACAGAAAGAAATACTCCGCCTTTTTCCTAAACTTCTCAGACTGTTGAATATATCTCATCAAAATCTTCCATAAGGTCTATCTCTTTCCATCTGCTTAACTCCTTTCTCAAAAAGCCAAATGCTGATTAGGAAGCTTTGAGCCTGGGAAGCACAGGTCAGTGAAGTCAGGGTCAGTTTTCACGTGTGCTGTGAAGGGAGCTGGGACCAACCTGGAGCTCCATAAGCTCTTGTCCGTTTCAGTACAACTACATTCACAATCACCACAGTAAGGAGCTTCCAATCCACTGTGACCTATCAAAGATTCTGGGATACTTTTAACGTAATATATGTAGTATTATGTTCTGTCAGAAAACTACAAGAAACTATAAAAAATAACCAAAGGTTTCTTATGCAGCAAAAACCCCACCGCTCAAATGGGCTTGTAAATACAGATGAGCATCCACTTTGTTTCTACCATATCCAAGCCACGTTTACCACTCTTGATTTTGACTGACTGTAAAGCGTGAGGTCACTACAGCAGTGACATGACTCCAGTCACCAGCAACATATTTAGTTATCATATAAAGTCCTGCCCTCAACTTGCAAGCTCTAACACAGTCTTGATCCCAGAAGCTTTCAACCCCAAAAGTAAAGACCTTTCTTTCCAATCTTTCTCTTCAGCCAGTTAAATAGATTATTTCAGGAGTCTTTTTCACTGAAAATGACTACCTAGAGGACATTTGCAGTGTTTGTTTTCTCTTTCTAACTCGATTACCTATGGAACAAGAGAAGATGAGACACTGATTGCCTTACAGTCATTTAGAGGAATATCTTTTCAAGATTGTTTTTAAGACATTGGAGTAATGCTTGAATGCTTTTCTGTGTATTGGATTGTATTCATCTGACTGTATTTAAGTGCATAGCCTTATACAGAACAGTACTTGCTATACATACATAACCACGTATATCAATATATGTATTTACTCGTAGGTATTCTCTATGTGACAATACAACCCTACTAATTTATTTTGTTTATAAACCCTATGTAATTAGTATTATCTTGAGGAAAATGAAAATGAATTTATTAGCTCTATGCCAAATTTGGTAAAGCATTTAATTAGCACTAACACTTAAAAGAATAACAGAACACTAATAACTGAGGATCCTCATTTTCTGCTATTGCAAGTATTCCTCCAAATTAAAGTGAAATTTCTCCCTTTCTGCATATGTAGCATGTTTGCCTAAAGGTGGCGTTCATGTCACCTAATCCAAAGAACTGAAACCTAGATGTCAAAGTCCATCAGCAAGTTCACTCAACTGAAGCCATATCCATTGTTCCATTGGAGTGTTTCCACCTCTTCCCAGTGGTATTGAAGGGGGTTAAATGAGTAGCTTTAGACTAGTTTCCTAATTTTAGGTAGATAATTTTAGATGATTCATCTAAACTCCCCCATCAAGCCTCCCTTAACGATTAATGAAGGCAGACAAGCAGTTCCAGGGAAGGATTCCTCCTACCTCTCTCAGACACCTATTTGAGGACAGAGTGACTCACTGCACAGGAGCCTGTTTCCTCCATTAATTCCCTCCAGGCTAACGAAACACCTAAACAGACTGATTCTTCCACACCTCCAGTTCCCTGCGGAGGGGAATTTAAGGTCTGCAGGGACCGGATCCCTAGAAGAATCATCGATGTCCCTCCAACACAAGTTAGCCAACAGTAGCTGTATCAGAAATTTAGGCACCCAGCTCTGTTTTATTGGGAGCTCAGCATCTTGCCACGGATTTGGATCCATGTGCCTATTACCACAAGAAACGCTTTGTTAAAGCAAATGTCTAGCTCAACGATAACCCATCTACATTTCCATTCTCACCTCCATTCATTAGCTCAGACTGAACCCCTTCCCCAGAAATGCGAAAAGCTGTTATGTGTTTGAAGAAGAAAGCAGTTTAGCTCAGCAGGAAGGACATTGAATGCAGATTCTTTTCTGTTCCCCATCCTCTGTTTCCTGAGACTGAACTCTTTAAGACATAAGGAAAAGTCATTTTTACACATTTCAGCACCCACTGCTCTCTGTTCCTTGTCACTTACAAGCAAATGGTAATTTTTAATGTCAAGGACTCTATTCTGCAAGGCACAAAGTATATCCTGCAACATACAGCTCCCTGTGGAGCTGATAGGAGGTAAAAGTACCCAGTTTCACAGAATAAGTTTTCAGGACTACCCTTCTGGTTTATTTTCACATCTGAATAATGAATTATTTGTAGAATCCATGCTAGAATTATTCCTCTGCTCTGACATGATCCTTTGAAATATGAAGGGACTGTTTACTCAATACATCTTATGGACCTCTGGCCTTCCCTGACTGTCTAACTTAGGGTGCAAAGCTTCCCACGAGACCTAGTTTGAGACATGAAAACCAGTGATATTTAGAGCACTGGCTCTTACCAGACATGTTATTGGACTTCATACATGAGCAATAGTTTGAGGCCAAAAGCTACGTAAAGCAGGCAGTTTGTAGAATTTATTTTATTACGGGCACAGTCTGCTGCAATATGCTAAAACATTAAAATGACGTGTGGCAGCCCACAGGTGTGCATGATACACCACTTCAGGTTAGCTCCACTCTGCTGACAGCGGCAAGAATAAGTTGTGCCTCTGTTATGTGTAGAAAGGCTAGTCCAGATGCCAAAATCACTCTACCTGTAGCAATGTAACACTTTAGGCTGACTAGTTTTCCCTGAAAGAAGGGTATTACACATGATAATAAATATACGTGACAAGGTTTACGTAGCAAGGACCTTGTCCTTGTATCACTTGTATGTAAAGCTGTGTAAATACAAAGGAAAAAACAGGTTCCAGAGGATGCGGGGTGCAGGTGTGAAAATTTACATCCCATCTTTCACCTTTGAAAACTTAAGGGTCAAGACCAGTCCGTAACCATCTAGGGTCTCCCTATTATCAGTGGAAGAAAACAGGCCCTAGGGGAACATTCACCCTGTCTGTCTGTCTGTCTCAGGACAAGGTGAAATGCTGCCCGGTAAGGTGACTGCCTCCCCCTTGACTACAGCGGGAGTCTGTACCCCAGGCTTCACTAAACATTTAACTGTGAAATGGCCAAAGTTAGCATTAATGAGCCGCTGGGAATCACACCCAAAGGAAGGTTTCCAAACACTTCTCGGAGGCTGAAAATTGAGGGGAAAGAGGATATATGACTGTGCTTGTACTTACGCTAGCTTTTGCTCACCAGCCCAGGCAATGCCAGCAGTGGAGCACGGGGCTCAGGGAGGGATATACGTGCTTGAACTGTGGCTCTGTGCTCATTCATCTTCCCGATGTTTAATGGTACAATCTCATCTGCTGCCTCCAGTGCACAGCAGACATAAGACGGCTCATGCTCCTGCTTGGTGATATTATAAGCAGATGCCTTCAGCAGTACAAACATCAGTGCCCTCTCCAAGAGGTAAATGTCCCAAATCCATCAGGAAGAACTATTCCTTTTTAGTTTTCCTCCTTCTTCAGCAAAGTTGCCTTTCTTAGGACAACTGGGACAGCAAGCTGTCCCCTTCTGTCCCTCTAAAGCCATGCTACAGCTATTCTGACTTAGGGATGCTTTTGTGTCCTTTGGAAACTGCAATTCTAATGAATGGAAATGAAAGGACTTTTATTAATATCATCCAAGGGCTGGAAAAATGTAAAGAAAAGAGCTGGATCAAACCTCTAACTCAGGAATATTTTTTCTTTCCTCCCCTCCTACATCCCCATCCCCCCTTTTTTAACCCTTTTCTTATTGTTCTTGCTTTCGACCTGCTCCTGGTTCCGAGAAAAGTTACCCTGCCTCTGCGGACATCCCCGCCCCCGCCCCGCCCCGATCCTGCGGGGCAGCTGCAGAGCCATCCAGCTGTGGGCGACAGTGTCAGGAGCCAGATGTGCGGTGTCCCACCCTCTCCCCCCTGCTCCCCGAACCCAGAGGCACCACCGCCGGGCACTCACCAGCGGGAGCAGCAGCCAGCACAAACTTCGCATCCTCCGCAGCAGCCAGCGGGTCCTCCCCGCTCCCTCTGCCTGTCGTGGAGCTGTCAAAAGCCGAGGTTCAGCCCGCCCCTACCTGCCCAAGACCCGCCCCGAAGCGCCTTGCACCTCCCTTCCCGGACCCCCGCGTCCCTCCCGGGGGAGCCCGGCGCCTTCGCGCCCCGCAGGACCGGGCTGGCGGAGAAGGGAAGGAGGTTCTCCAGCATCCTCCTGGGATTTTGGAGCCACCTCTATGAACCTGTCCTCTGGTCGGCCACCTGCAAAACTGAGGGGAGCTGGAGCGCCGCCTGGTCTTCTAGGGTGCGTTTGGAGGCAGATGTTCTCTGTGCAAGAAGAGATGATGGATTCAACCCGCCTTCTGCTTATGGGCCCATGTTTGTGGCTGGTGGCGGCAGGTTTTCAAAGGTTCTGGGTTTTCAGTGTGTCTGACAGCATGGTATTCCCTAGGCACTCTCAGAGATGGAACTTCTGGGATTTTGCAACCCCCTCCTCTCGGATGGAAAATTTTGAGCAGTGACAGAGGATTTCCTCCACAAGCTGCATGAGGTCTTTCTGACCCTTGTGGTACAAAGATGCCTCAACTGTAGCTTTATTTCTTGGTGCAATAGGCAAAAGCTAAAACCCTTCTTGCCAACAGCTTGGATTTGGGGGTGGGTGGGAAGCAAAAAAATGATAATAATTTTTTAAATAGCAGTGTTCATAGGACCTAGGCACCAGTTCTCGGTTTTGCCACAGTAAATATTGCACCAAGCTATTTTCAGGGCCTGGGAGAGCAGGAACTGTGGACATGACAAAACCATTTTTTCTTGATAAGATTTAAGTGCTATTTCATATCTGGTTTATCATTCATTATTTCCCAATGGTGTTAAACACAAAAGTTCTGTACAGTCAGAGGAGATCCAGGGCTCACCTAAGTTACCCCAAAATAGGCATCTAATGCCATTTGAGGAAATATATATTTTCACAGCTTTCTTCAGAAGTGTAAAACCCTCCTGTACGTCCTTTATCATGTTTGCCAGCTAGATATTTCAGATATACAAGGACACCTTGTGTGGCATTCCTTACTTATGTTTAAGAAACTGAGTCATGTCAGTGGTATCTACTAATTTCTCTTTTTGCACCGATAGTCCTGACCAAATCATTCTGTTGTAATGGGAATCTAGCCAACTTGTACAAGTTTGGACAGCTGTATTAAAATGCTGAAATGTGGGTGTTTTGCATCAGACGTTCCCCACCTTAGTTTGCAAATCAACGGATAAGGGGTCTAAAATCAAATAGTATTTCCAGTCTCATGTAAGAGAGACAGCCAGTTCTACAACCTGTGCAGAATAAAGAGGGGGACAAAAGCATAGATTTGTGAGTTAACATTTGTAACTTAATTCTTATTTACCTCCCCTTTTCTATATGTTTGTCTTTCTTTAGTGCATAATGGTATCTGATTACTTATCTGCACAGATAAGCCTCAAATACTACTCCAGAAAACAAGTCTGTTATAAAATAAAGAGATTAAACCCTAAAAAATCATTTGAAGCCTGATTTTGACTGGTTTTCCCCATCTATAATTGATGAGTTAAAGCTGTGGCCAACTCTCACCAGTCAATAAGGTGGTTCTCATCACATTGGAGTAATTTTTAGGATCCCACTACAAGGCAGGCACCACAGGGTATCAGGCAGTTCCTAATGCAAAGGAAAATGTAAAGTAAAGGCCTGTCAAATACCCCCAGGATAGGAACAGATTATTATTGCTGCTGAACAGTATTCAACCAAATTGAGTATATGAGATCATAGAGAACAGAATAATTTAGGTCAGAAGGGACCTATGGAGATCTGGCCCCAACCATCTCCTCCCCTCAAAATAAGTAAAATTTCAAAGTCAGGTCATGTTGCTCAGGCATTTGGTTGCTGTGTTTCAAAAAGAAATTGCTCTCACTCTCAGGAGTCACACTGTAAACACAAAGATGCAATTAAATGAATATCAGCAGGACATCCCAGTCCACAATATTTCAGCTGGATTCCATTATTTATGGCCTTGCATGTCACTCTGATGAAGTCTTTTAGGTCACCATAACCAGTCTTTTAGTTTGGAGCAAAACCAAGTGAGAACCATTTTTTTGGGGTTGTTTGGTTTTTTTTTTTTTTTGTGTAGTTTCTTGACATGGGTGTTCGTAAGCAGTCCTCAGGAGAAGGCATTGCTTCTTTGAGCAGAGGTGGTCTCCCAGTGCTTCCTACCTTATATATTTTCTCCCCTCCATCTGCATTTCCTATCTGATCTCCAGCTGATCTAAAAACCAAGCCACATTCCAATCCTTGAGCTTTAAATTAACTAGCTGGAAACCCCTCTTGTAAGAGTTTTTGTCCATGCTAATAAAGCAAACAAAGCCTGCTCTTGTTGGGTTTCTGTAACGTCTCAGTTAATGTTATAAACCTCGCCTACATTAAAGTCTCTGAGTTCCTTAGTCTACTTATATCCCTTCATTACTTTAAACAGATCCTTTTGTAGGCTAAAACTTTATTTAGGCTAAAACCTAATTCCTGTTTACCATATTAATTTACTTTATTCATTCTACTCTGCTACTTCTCTGTATGTACCCAAAGAAGATCCAATAATGAAATAATACAGGAAAGTAACCATACTGCTCATAATCTTTTTGTACTTTCTGATGTATTTTGCTGCTTTTTATCACAAAATAGTTCCTTGCCTGATAAGCTGGCTATAACTAAGCAATTTTTTTTTTTTTCTCTTAGGGCAGTTATAGGGTAAGTAATCCAAGATAAGGACCAGCTCTATTTTGCGACTGCTCTACAACACCAACCTGGGCTCCGAATATAACTCTGATATACATAAAAATGTCCTTCTGTTAGCATCAACAAGTGATCTAGCCATTGTGATGGTATGAAACTTAATCAATGAAGCAATAGACCCAAGATTCTTCCTAATCCCTATCATGGATATTCTGAATCAACTGATGCCATTTAATGAAAATGACGTGTACTGAGCTGCTTAGAACCTTTGTAAAAGTTGGACAACGTTTTTTTAATACCGTATGCTACCTGAATAAGGCTTTTCAATAACAAAAATCTTTCTGAAATGCAGCTGAGTTTCCTCTGTGTGCATATACTAGCACCTCCTTAAACAAGAAAAATATAGTGCACCAGCACCACATTGCAATATGAGCCATCAGCCAGAGAATAAAGGTGACTCTATTGACATTTCTAAACAATCTTTTGATAAATCTGACTAAAGGTGCAAAACAAAAAGCCCTGGAAGCATGGGAAGAAGGCTGTAATTGCTGAAAGCATGTAATCCAGTAGTTAGAACATGAGATTACTGAGTAACGTATTGTAACCATAATTAAAAACAAAGCTTCACCGTATCTAAAAAATGGGGAGTATATAAAAAGGATGGAAGTTTTATTCCTGAGAGTGATCTCTGTGATGTTTGAGGGAATGGGGTGAAAGCAGGAGGAAAAAAACAACTGAAAAAATGGTTGTTGAGATACTAAAGATGTAAGGCACTAAATATGAGAAAGCAAGTACTTAGAGCTGCATGAGGATAATTTGTCCAATTCATTTGCTTTGTATACACTAGCTGTATTATCTACTTACTATTTTTCTTGGGTAAAATTGGTTCCTGCTGTGTTCTGGGGCTCTGACTCCATATGTACCCATATTTTGTTACTGCTACCTGGCCTGACTCCAGGGACACCACAGAAATATAGGCAGAGTTTTGACATGCAATCATGGACACTTGGCTCATGTGGATTCTGTCGCACATGTTTTAATCTGTAAACTTAATTCTACCCAAGCATCTAAGATGTTTTCTAAATTTGAAAAATATATCTTGCCTGTACTTGTCTACCACAAACATACTATTTAGATTCTTTTAAAAACAAAATCCTTTAATCTTTTCAGTATTTCTACTTAAAAAAAATTAAATCTGTCAGTGATCCCTTCTCTATTTCTATTGTATCTTATCTGTTGAATAAGAAACTCATTTTTTCAAACCTAAGGGAAGTTACTTTTTCCAGTGACACACAATGCAATCTTCATTCCTATTAATAGTCTCTAAAGAGTTGACAAACCAGCTGTTCCTATCCTCAGAAATAGTGTTATGCATTATATTATTCATTTGTTTTCTTGCTTTCCTCTGGCCATTTCAACTCAAATTTATTTCCGTTTGCTTTTCAAGATGAGTAGAACACCACTGATTTTTATTCACTAAAATGCGGTTTTAAGACTAAGCTTGCTCCCTTCATAAGGGCCGAGAAAAGGTCCATGTTTCTCCTAGGCATAGGTAGAGTCTACAAAATAGAAGATAGGTAAACATGAGTAACCTATTTTTTGACAACACAGAAGTTCAGTAACTAGTGTATACTGGTGTCTGCTTCTTTTATGTTTAACAGAGAGAAGGGCATCTTTGGCCAGACTTTTCTCTTTGATATGACAACTTCTCCACTGACTGTAGAGGGGGTTTAGACAACTAGCTCATCTCACACCCCTACAGTAGTACTTTTCTCATCTAATTTCAGACATTAAGAGTGTAAATGTAGACTGATTATTTCAGGTTATTTTCACAGTCACAGACACCATTGAATGCAATTTGCCTGACATAATTTAGATGTCTACAGAGGACAAGATAATAAGTTCCTCAGGGTGTACTCATCTCCACCATCTCTGAAAGGAGGATAGGATGATTGCTCAGATGTAGATGTTTACTTTAGGGGCGAAATTCCACACACTGGTATGGACACTTAATGCAGGCATCTATCTGGATGTGTAAGCTGGAAAAGTGAGCTCCTGCTGTGGTTAATAGCCAGTCTAAAATAATTAGCTAGGCTTCCTTTACAGTTATGGGAACGATACAGAAAGTTCCTGTCAGAAACTCATTTGTACTGTATTGTGGTGGGAAGTATGGGGTCCTAAGCCATTCTCTCTCTTTTAAGTGACTTCAGAGGAGATGAGAAGTGGAATTGTTAAAGACATGGAGAAATTTA